GAACTATGGTGATGGAACACGGGCGACTTGGTGATGGGAAACACATGGGGATTACAATTGAGATGAAAAAAAAATGCACAAAATGATAAAAAAATAAACTATTATATAATAATAATAATAACTCAGGCGATTCAATGACTCAAAATAACAAGTCAATGGTACTTCTGGCCAACCAGCTATAAAGTGGGAGTTCCCATAGCATCCCTCCTCAAATACATTGATTCGCTAGAATAGTTCACAGAATTCAAAAGATACTATAATTACTACCAGTCATTATAAAACAGCAGTGAAATGGAAGAGCTGACAGGGAAAGCTATGGGGCAGGGCGGAGCCTTCATGCACGCCTTCGTTGGGCACACTGACCTCCCAGAACCTCAACATGGTCACCAACCTGGTAGGTCTCCAAACCCTATCACTTAGAGATTTTTGTGGTGACTCCATTACTTAGATATGATTGAGTCACTGGTCATTGGTGATTACCTACTTTCCAGTCCCTCTCCCTTCCTCAGAAGAGGGTTTTAAGTGAAGGGGAAGAGGCTAAAAGTACCAATCCTAAAAATCACACAATTATTCCTCTGGCAACCAATTTCTATTTGAAACTATGGAGGGGCCCAATAAGTCACCTCAGCATAAAATCTGTTTCATAGAAAAAAAGAACAGGCCCTCCCGGGTGGCACAACGGGTAAGGACGCAGCACTGCAATCTAGCAGCAGCCACTTCAGTGCGAGTCAGATCCTGGGCCCCAGAGGTGACCCACATGGTGCAGCAGACCTCTCCTGATGGGCCCGCTGCTCCCCTCAGCAGTGTACTTCGTCAATCTGCCTGGTCTGCTCCCCATTCCATCTCTGGCAAATCCTCTCACTGTCCCTGCACCTCTGGCCTGTACCCCAGTTCTGTATACATAAGTAAATCTTAAAAAAAGAGAGAGAGGAAAGAGAAAGAATGACACTCCTCTTCCCAATATCACTCAGGAAATTCTAAACATTTTAGAAGTTTCTTTGCCAAGAACTAGAATGAAGAGAAAAATATATATTTCTTATATATAATAGTCAATTCCCACATCCATTATTGTTAGGTCTTGTAATTTGTTGCTATTCTATCATTCCTTCCATTATTATTGCACTAGAACTATGTAAAAAGACCTACTAGTAATATATTTACATAAAGAATGACTAGATGCTAGATTTCTTTTTCCATTTATTTTTAAAATGAGCTACTTCCACCACTAGTGATCAACTAGTTGTTTTTCATTTCTTAATATTATATACTTATGAATATAAACTTTTCATAATTTTTAATCCCCTGCAATTGTTACTCTTACTGGTACTCAATTTGTTTCATCTTTGGTCAGTGAAAGCCTCTTTAGGTTGACTTCTGGGTCATTCTAACACACCCGAAGTAGTCTCTGATAGCTTGTACCTATCAGATTCAACTTAAAAATTCCTGCTCCAGAACTAAAATCAGTCACATCCCCAAAGAAACTTCATTTCTTTTGATAGAAAATGGTATCTGGATTTCGTGAGTCACACCTGTCAATTCACTCATTTATCAAAAATCTTCTGAGCAGTTAGCATATCAGTCACTGTACTTGGTTTTGAAGATATAAAGATATAAACTCAAGAAGCTGACAAAGCATTGGCATATCCTTAGAAAGAATAAATAACCAAGAGAGATATAACAAAGCAAATAAGCTCTGGCTAAAATAATCCATTTGGAATTTAGCTGATCATGTAATGTTCTTTGATCTAAACAGCACTCATAGAAATGAAGGAGAGACGTGATTCATAATGACATGGTTAAAGAAAGTCTCAAAGGATTAGACCCACACTGCACCTTACCTAACAGAACTGAGTCAGTCTCCAGGTGTAGAAGCACTCCTGCTTATAAATGTCAATCAGCAAGGAGCACAGGACCAGACTTATCTTCGGGTGTATAAAATTACACATAAATAAGTGCCTCTCTCATGGAGAGGTTAAGGCTCTTGCTAAACCAAGGAAATCTTTTCTTTTCAAGCATCCATACACTTACTATCAGTGTGTATCTTACATTTAATGCCTGCAATTTCAAAAATGAAAGTAAAATATTTCTAAGTATTCAAAATGTTTTGAAATTTGCAATATTTCCATTCCCAAATATTTTATTTCCAACTAGCAGTTACAGGCCAGCTTGTCGTTTGTCTTACAAATTTTCTCTCTTCATCAATTTCTACTCAAATTCTTTCCCTCCCTTGCTTAAAGTTTTTTCTTCCTGTCTGCAAGCACAGCTTATCTAGCAGCCTTGCTTGGACTGATAAGAAAAGCATAGACAAGATTAAAAGAAATTGCTTCCTGCATCAATTTTAGAAGGAAAATTCCTTTAAAACAATATCCAGTATTCTGTATTCTCAAAAGACAAAGAAAATAAATGTTAACCTATTTGTAAATGTTTCATGCTGGACACAAGCTACAAAAATAAAGCATTATAATGTGAAATAATATCTCTTACCTTCCTGCACTAAAAGCTGATTCTGTGTCAATGTACACAACACCTCCTTCTAATCCTCCCATGTTTGTGGGTAATGTAGCCAAAATACTCATCATTATACAAAACTGAGTTTTTCCACAACCTGGTGGACCTGTAATCTTTTAAAAAGAGAGAGAGAGAAAGAGAGAAAAAAGATTATTTGTATAAAAATCACAAGCTAATTAAAGCAAAATTATTTTTAGGAATTAAAAAAAAATAATCTTTCTAGGTTCCCAGAGAAAATAAGCTTAAACACTCCAAAACCCATCCTGTGTAATGAATAAACTTCTCCCCTATGCATCTTGGGATGCATACCCCCTGTACACCCATAGTTATGTACCATCCTTGAGAGAAATGAGAAAACAGTCACTCAAATCGTTGTGGGTTCCATCGCTGTGTTGCAGGCAGGCAAGGCCAGGCAGGGCTGGTCGGGCCAGGCAGGGGGGCAGGGAGGCTCAGGAGGCAACCGAGTTCCTCAGCCCCTGGCAAATGTACACCGCCTTTCTCCAGCCTCTCTGGCATTCTCTCTAGCATTCTGTCTCATGGTCTCTTCTCAGAATGGTCCTCCTCCCCAAGCCACCGCTGCTGTCTTTATCCCTTGCCTCTAGGAACAGGCGTGAGCATTTACACATGTGTACAACCATGTTCTTTGGGCCCAAGTGTCAGTAATTACAGGTGCGAGTACCCCGTGTTCATGCTCCAAGTGCTTTTTGCATAGGCTGCAGGTGGTGAATGTAGAGGCTAGCTATGGGAGGATGGAAAAAAGGGCCTGATAACTTCACTTGTCCTGCAATAGTTTAATAAAAAACTTTAGTTGAGAAAGCTGAAGGGATTCATTTAGCATTCACAATTTAGTGTTAGATACCTTTTCCTTATTAAGGCATCTGTATAACAGTATGATTTTGAAATTATTTGAGACTTTAATAATTCTGTTAGCCTTTGATACAAATTGGCTTTTCAAAACAATTCTGTGTTAGTACCATTAAAAACTTTAATCTTTTTTCTTTTTATTATTATTATTTATGCATATAAGAACTGGGATACAGGCCAGCAATGGGGGCATGGGGGGAAGGACTCACCAGAGACAGAGTAGGGAACAGGACATGCAGACTGACCAAAAAACACTGCTTTTCAAAACAATTCTGTGTTAGTACCATTAAAAACTTTAATCTTTTTTCTTTTTATTATTATTATTTATGCATATAAGAACTGGAATACAGGCCAGCAATGGGGGCATGGGGGGAAGGACTCACCAGAGACAGAGTAGGGAACAGGACATGCAGACTGACCAAAAAACACTGCTGAAGGGAGCAGCAGGGGAGACAAGAGAAGTCTGAGGTACCATGTGGGTCACCCACCCTGGCCAGGGATGGAACTCATACTGTAGAAGCTGCAGATAGCCTCACAGTGCTGCACTTCAATCTGCCATAGGATTCACTAAATGACTGACATTCATAAGCAGGAGTGCTTCTACACCTGTAGACTGACTCATTTCTGGAAGGTAAGGTATAGTGTGAGTCTAATCCTTTGAGACTTTCTATAATCACGTCACTGTGAATTCACCAGAGACAGAGTGGGGAGCAGAATAGGCAAACCAACAAAGTACACTGCTGAAGGGAGCAGCCAGGGAGGCAGTAGAGGTCTGCTTCACCATGTGGATCATCTCCGTGGCAGGGATCTAAGATGCACTGAAGCAGCTGTGGCCAGCGTCTTAACCCATTGCACCACGAGGGAGAGTCCAGAAAGTTATTTTGAGATGATGAAACTTGAAGCCAAGATATCTATATCTATATCTGTATCTGTATCTGTATCTATATATAGTAAAGGAAAGGAAATTAATAACATGAGTTAGTAAAAATTATTTTTTAATAATTTTTAAACATATGCTGCTTGTTCTGCTCCCCACTCGGTCTCTGGTGGATCCATTCACCTCGTGCACCTCTGGCCTGTACCGCAGTTTGTATGCATAAAGAAAATAAATCTTTAAAAAATAATAATGGATATAATTCCATCTATGAAACTGCCTTCTTTACTATTTCAGTTTGTTTGGATGTCTTCTCAGATGGGATTAGACTGTTGATTTTTATCTCTCTATTGCAGGAGAATCATCCACTCTGGCTCTTAACATATATGTAGTTCTCATCCTCTTGTTATTGTTATTGTCTTCAGTATATAGTGTCTTCGCAGGAATCTTTTTGTCCCAATTGTTTACTTTTGTTTACTTTTGTGAGATTTGGTTTATTTTAATCCATAAATCTGCCTAATGAGGCATATGTAGAATTGTAATTCACCACAATCTGTTGAAAATAAAGGTAGCTAGGAAAAGAAGGGAGCACAGTGCCTGTGTCAACCTTCTGTATCCATCCGTCCTTCCCTCTGGACTGTACCTGACGTGACACATGGCAATCTTACAAACAGACCCAGTAAGAATGCCAGTGTCAGCCTAGATGGGGAATATTAATTAAGGTTTATTTCATTTTTAGACTGAGATATTGTTTTCCTCCTGTAACCTAGAGGGCCACCTGACACTCTGATTCGTAGATTGTTGGTTTTAAAGAACCCCAAACTCTTTATAGGCCTTTTATCATTACCAAACACAACACAGATTATATTAATTATCACATATCAAAGCAAAGGAAATTTCTATCTGTGAAAGTGATCTTGCGATGATAAATGCACCTCAGAGTGCTACCTAATGGGGGCCAGAAAGCAGCCTTTCCACGCATACTCTCTAGAGGTCAAGTCAGGGGTAACTAAAATTCCCACCCCCCACAGTCCCTTTTGCCAGATGTTCTAAGGTTTAACAAGCTTAACACTAAAAAACTGGGGGGTTTTAATGGAAAGGTGAGATAAGTCATTTTAAATTAAGATGTGTATTAAAATATTCAATAACATATCAAATGCTGTAAAATGTAAAACATTCTGATTATTCATTTGAATAAAACATGTAAAATTCTATTTGAGATGTGTAACAAGCACAACTGACATTTTTCCTACTTCATTATTTTTGTTTTCTGATTCACTATAGTCTTGGGAAAGAAAGGGCAACCTGTAAATAACATAAGATTTTTGGGTTTGTTTAGGTTTTTGTTTAGTTGGGGACATTTTTTTTTTTATTTTGCATTATAATTTACTTTAAAGTTGGGCCCTCCCTAGTGGCAATGGGTTAAAGCACAGCACTATAAAGCTATCACAGCCACTGCAGGACGAGTTCCATCCCTGGCCATGGGGGTGACCCACATGACATGGCAGACCTCTCCTGAACCATTCACTACTCCCTTCAGTAGTGTATTTCAGCCAATCTGCCTGTTCTGCTCCCCATTATCTCTCTGGCAAATACTCTCATCCCCCTGCACCTCTGGCCTGCACCCCAGTTCTGTATGTATAAATAAATAAATCTTTTTTAAAAAATTTACTTTAAGCCATAACAATTTCAAATTCTTTAGCAAGCTCAGATCCTTTTCAAATATTTTTTCCACTCTTACTAATCTCAGAAAAAAACTGATGCTACATGCAATTTTTTATGAGTTGACTGGAGTTGAATTTCATTATTTTTTCAGGTTTACTTAGTGGGTTAAAACATTCAACATTAATAATTTTTAGCTTCAGAGAGTTTAGCTCTGAATTCTAGCAGCCAAACCACAAGTTTCAAGTTATATTCAATTCCCAGGTTCAGCTCCAATAGCGGTAAGAAAGAGAGAGCATGCCAAACCAGAACAGCCTAAGTTATTTGTTTCTTGGAGACTCAAGAGTGATACATTCACACACAGAAGACAGCAGGAAAATGCAATCAGCTTCATATAGCAGAGCCTGAGTTTCCACCACCCTGCCTGAAAAATGAAAAAGTACTGAAAGAAAGTGACAGATATGGCCCTCCATAGGCAGGGGGTGAGCGCGCAGCACTATGAAGCTATATGCAGCCACAGCAGCAGGAGTTCGATCCCCGGCCCGGGAGGTGACTGACAGAGCACAGTAGACCCCTCCTGTCTCACCAACTACTCCCCTCAGCAGTGTATTTCAGTACATCTGCCTGTTCTGTTCCCTGTCTGTCTCTGGTGAATCCTCTCACCTCCCACACCTCTGGCCTATACCCAGTTCTTGTATGCAAAAAATAATCTGAAAAAAAAAAAGTAACAGGTAGTGATGATCACCCAATTATTGACAATGAAGCAGATATTAATAATTGATTTAAAGAGGAAAGAAAATTGTCCCTAACAAAGGCAGACCTAGTTGTAATAAAGTAAAATGAAGCTTAGCCATTTTAATGTTAAATGAGATTAAAAGATTAAAATGAATATGATGCCCAGATCTGCTAAAGCAAGTTAACTCCGTACTCAAGACAGGGTAACAGAATGGAGCAATCTGTCAAGTTAATAATTTGCAAGAAAAAAAAAATGTCTAAGAAAAGAGCATGACTCCCACCCCCAGCATCTAAATACTATTGTCTTCATTTGCTGTACAATTAGATAGATATATGATTAAGTCTTCTGATCCATGGGCTCATTTTAAAAATAACTAACTCTCCAACTCCTAAAAAAAAAAAAGTAAGCAGTCTTAGAAATTTGGGCCAGGTAGTACTCTGCTTTGTGAAAGAAACTCTGATCTTAAATTACATCACATGAAAGACTTTATATCTTGAATTATTTCCACTACTCCCTCCTATTTCATATTGACAACTGTATCACAGAGAGGGACCCCATTTTTATGTTTTTAAGGAAACTCCATACTATTTTCATAGTGGTTTTACCAATTTACATTCTCACCAACTGTATGTTAGGGTTTCCTTTTCTCAACATCCTCATCAGCATGTATCATATCCTACCTTTTTGATAAAAGCCACTCTAACAGCTGTGAGGTGAAACTTTATTGTGGTTTTACTTTGTATTTCCCTAATGATAAGCAATGAAGAATATCTTTTCACGAGTCTGCTGACCACATGTATGTCTTCTTTGGTGAAATTTTTTGCTATTTAAATGAATACATTTACAACTATGAACCACTATTGTTAAAAATCTATTTGCACAAAGGTCCAAAAATAATATGTAAATAGGATTCTGGCACCACCTGGTGGCATTACACTGCAATACAGATTCTAGTATTTATTCTTCATCATCTATTGATAACAGGCATCTGCTAGGCATACTCCATACACATTTTTTAAATCATTCTTAGAAGACAAGAAATAAAATAAGTTATGTATCCAAAATAAACTCATTATCCTTGAGGGGAAAATCTACACTTAAATGTATGACTGGCAGGATAGAAGTTTCTACTCTTGTTTCGAAGTTTGCTTAAAGTTATCTATGCCCCTAGAACTCTCGGCAAGAACCCCCGTAGGTGTACTGGTAAACAAAGTGTATTAAGTAACCACATCAGGTGCTTAGTAAGCACAACAATGCAATTTTCAAGGAAAGATCTGTAATCGTTTTAAGATGTCCCAAATTCTTCATATTTTTTTCAAGGGGTAGAGCCAATCCTTTCCTTAAGTGTGGGCTGGACTTGACTCCCTTTTAGCAAAAAGAATTGGCAGAAATAATAACATGCAGCCTCTAAAGTTAAATCACCAAACTCATTTCCACTTCCACTGGCCATCCTTGGGATTACTCACCCTGGGGAAAGTCAGACATCATATCCTGAGGACTCTGCATGTGGAAATTGGGAGGAACTATGGCCTCCTGCCAATAGTCAGTGCCAATTTTCCAGTATTGGGTGAGCACCTCGGAAATAGATCTTCCAGGCCCACCCCACTTCCAGATACTATTGATACATCTCTTATCAAGATCACTGAACTAAACCACTCCCAAAGAAACAGAAATAATAAGGATTGCTGTTGTTTTAAGTCACTTAGTTCTGGGGTAATTTGTTGGGCAACGATATAAAAATAATTCAAGAACTTATTACTTCCTAGGAACAAATCCATCTAAATCAGGAAGTAAAAATGGCTCACTTAGTTTAACACTATCATATGCCCACGGGTTAACTTCAAATTTCCTTTCTATTACACTAAGTGGTTGTCATCTGAGAATTACCCCAAATTATTTCATAATATTTCACTATATTCTTCACTTTCTAAGCTATTTTAATGAAACAGCCACCTAAGTAGATCTCGTTGGCCAGCAAGGATTTTCATTAACATCTTTCTGTAAACCACTCTGCTAGGTACTAAGGATCCATAGGACTCATTTTAGGGCAATGCCCTTCAGGTACTTACAAATCAAATTAATCTTCATGAAATAACAGGTCTTTCACTAAACATTTTCCCTGACTCTAAAAGTAATAGCTCAAAGAGGAAAAACTTGGAAGTTTCTCCTTTACCTCTGTGAGAGACCCACACGCCACACCACCATGCAGGGCTTCATCCAAAGCAGAAAGAGTAGTAGATAAGAACGCTGGGGAGAGAGCAGCAGACCTTCGTGACTTCATCTCATAAGCCTAAACAAAACAGAGATTAAGTTCTTTTCAATCTCCATATCTAGTCAAAAATATTTATCAGGGCCCTCTCTGGTGGTGCAATGGTTTAGTTAAAGCACAGCACTATAAAGCTACCACAGCCACTGCAGCATGAGTTCGATCCCCCGACAGGGAGCTGACCCACATGGCGCGGCAGACCTCTTCTGACCTTCCTGATGCTCCCCTCAGCAGTGTACTTCATCGAACTGCCTATTCTGTGTCCCATTCTGTCTCTGGTGAATCGTCTCTCTCTCTCACAAACACACAGACAAACAAAAACCGCCACCTCTGGCCTGTACCCCAGTTCTGTATGAATAAATAAATAAATCTTTAAAAGCAAAAAAACATACACCAACTTCAATTTTCAGCTGCTGTTTCCCCTTTCTCCTCTATTTGTTTACTCTATTCCAGGGACTTTGCTAAATTTTGTGGAAATAATATAATAGAAAGAGCCCCTGAGTCCCATTACAGAAAGTCAAACAGGAACTGTGAAGTTAGTATTAGAAATTAAGCAACTAATTACAATACAACTAATAAGAGATATTGCAGTAGAGAGAGTGAAGCCATATAGACAGTGCACCTGATCTGGTTTTTGTAATCCAGGTAGGATTCCTGGAAGAGCTGGATGTCTGAGCCAAAATCTGAAATAACCATTGAACAAAGGGAATGTATAAAAAGAGAAGAAACAATTAAAGGTCAAGAAGGAAGAGAACAAATGGAAAGTAACAATTTTTTTTAAAAAATAGCTTCTTCAAATGGCTGGAAGATGGAAGTATGGTCTTGGTATGACAAGCTTTGAGGCTAAAGAAATAAGCAGGGGCCACATTACAAAGCTCCTGGATGAAGTCTGTGCTGAGAACAACAGAACGGGAAGATCCAGCTGCATTTGGTTTGTGGAGAACAGCTTGAAGGTAGGTGTGGCAGACTGAAAAAAAGGACCCCCAAAAGGTATTCAAATCAAATCCTTAGAACCTGTGAATATTTCCTTATTTGGAAAAAAGCCGCTGTTACAAACGAAATTGGTTTGATCACATGCCCATATGAGAACAATTGCCTCTTTATAATCTTTAATGTTACAAATTACCATTTTATTAAGTTGTCGAAATGAGCAGAGATCAAGCCACAGAACTGTAATCATTCATTATTTAAATAATAAGCATTCATTCATTCAATAAATTTCAACTGACCACCTACAGTATGCCTTCCATATACTATTAGGAATATAGAAGTAAACCAAATAGTTTCCATCCACTTGAAGTTTACAATTTAATAAATTGTAAATTTGGTCATATCCAAGGCTCTTCTGCCTCTGTGAAGATGTAGAAAAACCTCCATATTCATACTTATGAGTCATAAATGTTCCCACTTTTGTCTAATCTCACTTATCAATACTTAAATTAGCTAAGCCTTGATGATTACCACAGATTTTTTTGAAGAATATATTCAGGCACAAACTAGAAAAAGTAAAAAATATTCAAATGAGATAGTAAGGTCAGTAATTTGCAATTCACATAAATACATTTAAAAAACATTAAACAAACATGGGATAGCTCTTGCTCTGGAAAAACAAGATGTTTCCTACCAGGGACTAAATCTACTTTTTGATAAAATCACAAGACAAAGTATGAAATAACAATACAATTTAATTTTAAAAGGACTTGTGATAGGGTCCTCCCTGGTGGAACAACAGGTTAAAGTGCAACACTATGAAGCTAGCAGCAGTCACTGCAGCATGAGTTCAATCCCCGGCACTGGAGGTGACCCACATGGTGCAGCAGACCTCTCCTTTCTGGCCCACTGCTCCCCTCAGTAGTGTACTTCATCAAACTGCCTGTTCTGCTCCTCATTCTGTCTCTGGTGAATCCTCTCACCAACCCTGCACCTCTGGCCTGTACCCCAGTTCTGTATGCATAAATACATAAATCTTTTTTTTTTTTTAAAGGACTTGTTATAAAAGACTTCACTTTTTTCAAGATTTAGGATAAATTTTTTTTAAGTATTTTTTACTAAATCAGTAAGCAAGGATAAGCCTCATCTGTGTACTTTATGCTGCAGAGTAAGTGATGGTGGTAAAAGTTAGAACTGTAGAGACAGTTCTAACAGGAAAAATACATTATAATTTATCCATAAAGTCTGCAAACTTCCCCCAAACAAACAAAAGAAAAAGCTGACCTTTTGAAATATCACTATTAGCTACCAAGAAAAATCTCCCTGTTGCTCCCTTACTCCCATAATTACGAACTGCCCCCATGAATTTGTATACATAACTTTTTCACAAATATTCTCAACTAAAGGACTAACTTGATGATCTGAGTGAATATTTTTGAGATGTTCATACTCAGTTTTTGCATTGGTCATATCCTAAAACAGATTTTAAATGAAGCCATTTCAGAATAAAAATTACAATCACATCATAAAATATATATATATAGGTACACATACTGTTTGCATCTGTGGTGCACAGGCCCTGCTAACCACACACACAAGGTCATGGACACCTCGATAGCTAAGGCCAGTCATCTTCATAAGCTCCAGTGGAGAAAGACATAAAAAGTTCTAAAGAGAAATAAAAAGAATATTTTAGGTATATATGTGCAACAAAGATTGAAATTAAAAGGAAAATTGATACTTTTTTATGTATAGATAAAAGTGAAATGTATTGTAGATCAAAGACTCACATGTTCCATATCGTATAGCCCTTGAATATGCATTAAATAAAAGATATGATGATAATCTTAACTTGTAATTATTCAAGCTACTTGGATAATTAATACACCAAAAGACAAAACAGGGTACAATGAATTTCTTCCTAAACGATGAGATCATTCAAAAGAAGAATCTGATAATTGAGAGAGAATAATGAACTACAGAATGAACTGCTTCATAATTTTAAGAGCATTTAAAAGTATGAATATCAGGATTATGAAATGCATCGGAGAACCAAAGATACTGTTACTACACAAAGTAATTTTTTTTAATTTAGCATGCACTGAAAGCCTGTTTTATTAAGGATTAAACCCTAAAATAAAATCTTAAATCTTAATTAATCTCTTAAAAGGAATTTGCTGTACTATTGTGCTTAAAAATCCAACATCTGTTCTTTGCATTTTTCTTCCTTCAACATAAGAAAATGATCCTATTAATTTGCTTTTGAGGAGAAACCAACAATTGGAAAGGATTACTCTATCCTTTTTTTAGCTGAGATAATACTGATTTATAACACCGTATATGATTTAGCGAAATTAAGTTCACATTTCCTCAGATGTGTGTCACTGAGTCACACCCACCACCAAAGCACCCACAATCCTTTACCACAGCCCACTAGGCTCTCTCCCTACTTTGTTCCAGCCCCCTGTTCCTTCTCCTCTAGTAGCCTCAATTCTGTATATTTCTAGGGTTTGTTTTGGTTTTGTTTGCTTCCTCATTTTTTTGTTTGTTTCTTACATCATCGCATATTCCTGGTAAAATTCCCACCACCCATTCACCCAGGATCCATCACCATAGTCCTTTGTGTTCTTCTCTCCCCTGTTCTGATCCCTTTTCCTCCCCCTCCCTCATAGAGTATCTCTGATTTATGGTTGTCTGCTAGTTTTTATTTTTTATTGTTGTTACTTTTTTTTCCTGATCCCTTATTTGGTTCCCCTATATTTCTCCTATAAGTGAAACCATCCAATAAATTTTTCTTTTTCCTTCTGGCTTATTTCACTAAGCATGATCCCTTCCAGCTCCATCCATATTGCTGCAAAAGGCATGTGTTTATCTTTTTTGATTGCTGAGTAATATTCTGTTGTGTATATATATAGACCACATTTTCTTGATCCAGTCGTCTATTTTGGGCATTTGGGTTGTTTCCATACCTTACCTATTGCAAATAGTGCTGCAGTAAACATAGGGGTGCAGGTATCCTTTTGAATTGTTTTGTGTCATCTGGGTAGATTCCTAGAAGTGCAATTGCTCCATTTTTAGTAGTTTGAGGAACCTCCACACAGCTTTCCATAATGATTGGACTAGTTTACACTCCCACCAGCAATGTAGGAGAGTTCCTTTTTCTCTATATCCTCGCCAACATTTGTTGTTTAATATATGCCATTCTCACCGGGGTAAGGTCCTATCTTATTGTGGTTTTGATTTGCATTTCCCTGATTATAGGTGATGTTGAACATTTTTTCATATGGCTGTTGGCCATTTGCATTTCCTCTTTGGAGAAGTGTCTTATTAGCTCTTCTGCCCTTTTTTTTTTTTAGGTCTTTTTAGCCCTTTTTAGCTCTTCTGCCCTTTATTTTGCCTCATTATTTGACTAGATTGTTTACTTTGTTTTCAGTGAGTCATGTGAGCTCTTTGTAGAATTTTGTCATCAGTCCCTTTAAGCGGTACTATATGTTTTCGGTTTATTTTTGTGAATTCCTTTGTTTTCTTTGTCTATGCCCTACAAATGAGTGAAATCACCCAGTATTTGTCTTTCACCTTCTAACTTACTTCATGTAGCATGATCCCATCACATGTCACAATGTGAAAATTTCTTATATTTTTATATTTAAGTAGTATTCCTTTGTATATATATACCATATGTTAATACACTCTTCTGTCACTTGGCATTTTCACTTGCATAACTTGACTATTTGTAAATAGGGTTACAAGGAATATACAAGGGACATATGTCCCTTCAAATTAGTGTTTTTTTTATTCTTGGGTAAAAACCTATCTGTAGAACTGCTAGGTCATATGGCAGCTTTATTTTTATATTCTGAGGAATCTCCATACAGTTTTCCACAAGGGGTTAGACCAGTCGACATTCCCACCAACAGTCTATGAGTGTTTCTTTTTCTCCACACCCTTGTCAGCAGGTTGGTTGCTGTTGTTGTTTTTATGATATGGGCCATAATCACAGGAATGAGGTGATATCTAATTGTGGTTTTGATTTACATCTCCCTAATGATAAGGAACACTGAATGCTTTCATGTGCCGTTAGCCACCTGTGTGCCTTCTTTGAAGAAGTGTCTATGTAGCTCTTCTGCTCATTTTTTGATAGGGTATTTTATTTTCTCTTGTTGAGTTGTATTAAGTTATTTGTAGATCTTGGAAATTAAGCCCTTGATCGCTATCTGGTGTGCAAATATTTTCTCCAATTCAGTAGGATGTCTTTTTGTTTTAATGAAAGTTTCTTGCAATGTATAGCAGCTTTTTAGCTTGATGTCATAGTTTCATTTGTTTCCTTTTGTTTTTCCTTGCCATTGGAATTGAGTTCCCAAAGACATAATTGAAGCCAGTGTCATGGAGAGTTTTGCCTCTGTTTTCTTCTGGGTTTTGGTCTTATATCCAAATCTTTAATCTGTTTTGAGCTAGTATTTGTGTATGGGGTGAGAGAGTGATCTAGCTTTATTTTTCAGTAGGTGGCCGTCCAGTGTTTCCTTGACCATTTCTTGAAGAGAAACCTTTCTACACTGTATACTCTTGGCTTCTTTGTCATACATTAATTGTCCATGCAAATATGGGTTTAGTTCTGCACACTCAATTCTATTCCACTGGTCTATATTTCTATTTTGTTCTATTATCATACTATCTTGATTAGTATACTCTTGTAGTATACTTTGCAGTCTGAGAGCATGATACCTTCATTCCTCTTCTTTTCTGTTAGGATTGCTTTGGCTATTCAAGGCCTCTTGTGGTTCCATATAGAGAAATTATCCACTTTTAAAAGGGATAATCTGAGTCATATTTCTCATATAACTACTAAATTTCCTCCAGTAAAATAAATATTTTAAATTTAGTTTCTCTAGAATCCCAAATAAATGGCAGAGATGTCTTTCACCTTATGCCTTGGGCCATTATCCTCCCACAAAATGCAAAAATATTGAATTTGGTTAAGAAAATCATATTTGGAAAAATAACCTGAGCAGCTTATTATTTAAAATCAACCTTTGGAGAGGCATCACCATTTATCCATTCTTTTTTAATAAGCCTAAGTTTTCAAATTTCAATTTTAGCTATTTAAGAATTAAGAGCTATTAAGACATACTTAAAATTAATATATATTTTCACTGAGGAAAGTGACATAAATTTTACCTGACAGGTTATAATCTGATATCTGCTCAGTCGCTCACACAGCTCCTGTGATAAACCCACTCGTTTTAGTTTCTTGCTACCCATGCCTCCAGATGCAGCAACAAAAGAACCTTGAAAAAAAAAATCAGAAAATAGCATAAATGATAAGTGGCCTATCTAAATCACTCTACAAAATAAACAATTAAAGTTTCTCCATTTGCAAATAGTTTTTAAAATATAATTGACAAAATAAAGGGAACTGTAGAATCTTTCTAAGTAAATAGGGAAGACAACTGTCAAACATGCACACAGAAGAACAAAGCAACCCAAGAATGTGCATTTCACACAATTCTTTGATACTAATGAATGCAATGCATCACATTTGTAACTCACCTTAAGATTTTTCAATACATTTATAAATTTTATTTGGCTGTGTATTTAACTTCAAGGCTTACTTCCAAGAACACTCCTGAAAAGTCTTTGTTTTCACTGCACCATAATTACAACAAATATATTGATCATTTACTGCACACCAGGCACTGTTCCAAAGCTGTACATAAATACCACTTTTAATCTTCTGAACAGCCCCTATTGATTACTGGGTTGACTATTAGCTATATTTTTTTATTAGCTCTATTTTTACAAATGAGAAAGCTAAAATCTGTAAAGATTAGCTATTTTGTTGTCACTAAGAAAAAGAAAATGATGGATCTAGAATCTGAACCCAGAAAATCCAACTCTGAGGCCACTCTACTATACATCCATAATCTTCTTTAGGCTCTCCTTTTCCTGTAAGTCATAGCAAACTATGACGTCACACTTTCCAAATTTAAATTGCTTTACTACTTTAGTTGCATTCCAACATGCAATTATAGAACGCTCTTATTGAACCTCACTAGATTACATGAGACTTGTGAAATAATTGTCTTTGGAGAGGTAGAATAGACTCTAGCTCATTCCCTTAGTAATGCATAGAAAAGGGATTGTGTTGTCTCATGGCAACATAGCCACTGGACAAAGTAGAAACTGCAATGCTATTCCAGGGGATAAAGTAATATAATTATCAGAAAAGGGGTTAAATTTTGGGACAAAAATACATACTGAAATTAAGCGTGTTCATTTCCAACACCATGGCCCAAATTTCTCCCAAACATATAAATTCTCTATATTTGAATAAATATTTAATCTCTTTCCTCCCTCTGTCTCTTCTCTTTCTCACACATATACACATACCTCCCACAAACATAAAATACATCCCTCTCATCTCTCTCAAGGGGAATGTGTCTGCATTGATTGGTTCACCAGGTGACATCTACTTTATTTCCTACTATCTTTACAAATCAAGTCACTCTGGGCTAGGACACCATCTAGACAGGTCAATTCAACTGAAAAGGGGGTCTATAAACCCCAAACTACCTGGATTTAAAAAATGACCAACTGTGCTTTCCCTTTTTGGGGCCACTGCCTCACCTTCCTGGACTAATGCATACTGCCACTGGTCACACACTGTCCTACCAAAAAAAAAAAAAAATCATTCATTTGCTCCTTTCAGAAACACTTCAGCACTCTGGTAAGGTACAAGAATCATTTAAGCATATTCCCTCCCACTGGAAACTCATAATAAAAGAGGAAAAGAGATATACAAAAATAGAGATATGAATAAGCAATGTCTTTGTTATTTAAATGTGCCTTGGGAGCACAAAGGAAGAAGCACCTGTCACTCTCAGCCTTCACATAGACCAAGGAACCCCGAGGCCACACAATACCTTCCAATGCTTCCTAGAGTGCCATTAAGACCCTTTACAAACTGCTCTCTCCCGCCCCTCTCATTCATAAATTAGATTGCAAGGCCTTGATGCTGGCCTTCCTGGCAAAGCAACTTTGCCTCTTAGTGTCTTAATTTTCTCAGCTCTAAAATAAGAATAAGTAAAATATTTACTTCATAGGAATGTAGCGAAGATTAGATTTGAATGGTTCCTGGGAAGAATTCGTTTAACAGTCATTATCATGATCAATTCATTCAGCAAAACATTGTGCAGTGCCTCTGGTGTGATCAGCGGGTCACAAGTGCATGTTGGTAGGTTACCCAGTGCCATAGGCCTCCTTGACTTTCCTCCATAAAGGCTTTTCCCAAGTCAATCTTGTCCTCTCCAATATACCCTCCACACTTTGGACATGATGTCCATAATCTTATTAACGTATTATTATGCCTTGCTTGTTTGTTCTTTTACCAGAGACTTTAAGTTCCTGCAATGTATGCAATGTATGTGAGTGTGTAAGTGCACATAGATGATTTGGGGGTAAGTTATTCAACCCTAAAGAATGAATCCTCTCCTCCCCATCAAGAAAAACAAAATAGTGAAAACTGTGAAGTCACACATTAAAGCTAATATTTATTGATTCGTGATTACGTGCCTGACACGACTCCAAACGCTTCGGATGTTTTACCCCATCTTTAGATTAAGATACTGAAACAAACGATCGAAAAACCTGCGCAGTTGAACACTGGCAAGTTGAGGAGTTGGCTTTCTGACTCCAGAGTCCACATCATGAAGCAGAATCTCTCCTCTAACACCACGGAAGTGTGTCAGACCCAACATCTTCTAACATTGGCTCCCTAGACTGCATCCCAAACTGCCCACTAATAGGCCTAAATATCACCCGATTCTCTTAAAAGCGTTTTCTTCAACAGTAGCAGCTTCCCAAGCAACTCTAGAAGGCCACAAACTCCCTGCCTGTGGCGGGATTCTCAAAGAGATCCCTACCGGGCATAAGGGGCGTGTCCTGCACCCAAGACTCTCCGCTCCACGGAAAGCAATACCCACGGGCCCAGAGAGGAAGAAGGAAATAATGAGCGCACCCCACTTTCCCGCGATTATCCCCCACGTGAAACTTTCCAGTACCGGATCTGCAGCATCCAACTTTCAAAGTTTCCCCCAACCCTCACACAGTTGCCCGCCGAAAGCTTCGCAAGGCAACAACCCAAGCGCTGGTTGGGTCGTCAGCCTAGAGCGCTATCCAATCAGCGATGGGAAGAGGCCCAGGCTGGCTCCGCTGCTTCCTGGGAATTGTAGTTCAAACGCTATTATCAGTCTATGAGATGAGGATGAGGCAGAGTCAATTTCCCAATAGTAAT